TCCATCTCTCCATCTCTCTCTCTCTCCATCCATCCAACCCTCCATCTCTTCACATCTCTCTCTCTCTCTCTCTCTCTCTCTCTCTCTCTCTCTCTCTCTCTCTCTCTCTCTCTCTCTCTCTCTCTCTCTCTCTCTCTCTCTCTCTCTCTCTCTCCCTCCGTCTCTCTCTCTCTCTTTCTCTCTCTCTCTCTCTCTCTCTCTCTCTCTCTCTCTCTCTCTCTCTCTCTCTCTCTCTCTCTCTCTCTCTCTCTCTCTCTCTCTGTTACATTCTGACCAGACATTTCATAATTTGATATATGTACAACATCTAGAATATCGATTTCTTGTAAATATATTATTGACAAATATATGCACGATCGGTCACAGAAATCAACATTAGAATGCAATTTCATTATTTTATTTTATATATTTTGTACTATTTAATTTGAATGCATAGCGATCGACCGATATCTTAGTATTTTTATAGAACGAGATCATATTTACTTTCATTCTATTGCATGAAAGGTGTGGTTAGAAAATATTTTATCGTCTTAAACAACACATGCGTCTATCATGCCATTAGAAAAAAATCATTATGGAGGTCATAGATTAAAGTGTGACAGATTTCCTCCTGTAAACTTTTCCAGTAATGGGAACTGCGGTATGACAAAATCTGTTCTATTTTATCAGATATTACAAATATTTCAGGTTTGATTGACGTACAGCTATAACACTTCTTCTACCATACTCCGGCATTGCTTCTATATTTTCTAAACCGAACACATTGACAATAAAATTCCTTAAGAACGAAGATAGTGCCGATAAAGCCATATTAAAAATAGTGAAAATAACAGGCTACAATCCGTCAGTAAACGCCACCCAACAACAACAGAAAAAAATCAACAAAACATCCCACTCACGCATACCTCTCTTCATCTTTTTTTTCCTTTCCACAGAAGCCAGTGCGAAGCCATCGGTGATTTCGCCAAGGAGAAAGACGCCGACATTTTCTGCCACCAAAACTGCCTCAAACTGAACGCCTTTTGTCCTAAGGATAAATGCAGATGCTATTAGGACGTTTGGTTCCCGCTTTTTTTTTTTTTTTTTTTTTTTTTTTTGAACCAGCGATTCTCGAGGAAGGAAAACCAACATGGCGGACGAGATTCTCATTTCAGCTGCAGAACAAAATCAGTGTTCTGCTTTCTATCGTGGGCGAGGTTGCAGGTCATTCTTGTGACCGTAAATGAACTCTTATTTTTCGACTGTTAACTGATTTATTTTGATATTATATACAGTATCATTGTTGTTGTTGTTATTGCTGTTGTTACTATTATTATTATTATTGTTATAATCACTCTCATTGCTGTCAGTATCAGTCATTATTATTATTATTGTTATTATTATCATTATTATTATTATTATTATCATTATTGTTATTATTATAAGTGTTTTATTGTTATTATTATCATTGTTATCATCATTATCATTGTTATTATTATTGTTATTATTATTATTATTATTACTATTATTATTATTATTGTTGTTATTATTATTATTATTATTACTATTATTACTATTATTATTATTATTATTATTATTATTATTATTATTGTTATTATTGCTATTGCCATCTTCATTATTATTATCATTATCCTTTTTATTACGATTATCATTACTTTTCTTATCACTGTTATTGTTAATTTTTGTTACTGTTACAATTCTTATTGTTATTATGATTGTTGCATTGTTATTTTGTTGATATTGCTATTGTTAATATCATTATTGTCAGTATTATCATAATGTTTATTATTGTTGTTGTTGTTTTTTCTGCTGTTATAATTATGATGACGATTATCACTATTACTTAATCAACGTCATTGTTGTAAACTCATCTTTCTGAAAATTCACTTAGGAAAAACAATGACGTTATTTTGATTCTTGTTTTAAAAATACATTTAGTACGTTAGGTCAGTATGGTACCTGTTACTACGAACGAATCAGGGTTCAGTATCAATAGTATTAAACGAATGCATTCCAGAAAAAAAAAATAGCCACAAGAATGCATTGGAAACCTCGTTCCTATATAATGGGTGTATAACGTATAGCAAAAGACTCTGCCAGCGTCGCGACACTACTAGCGCATAGCAGCAGCAAGTAAGGGGAAAAAGAAATACGAAAAGTTGTTTTAGGCACGTGTTTAGTAAGATTTTGTTTTGTGGAAATGTGTTTTAAGCAGAAGCATTTTGATTTAAAAGAAAAAATATATATATAGATAGTTATATACGGTATTTTGTGCTCCCTGTTAACATGTTAATTGTATACACTTACATTGGTAGGTGTTTTAAATACAAGTGCTAATGGATATTTTAAGCAGGTGTGTTTACATGAAATTGAAAATGAGGAAAAAATGATAGTTATAAGTAAAATTATTAGGAAATAAGCAACTGCTGCTTCAGCCTGACATTTAAGTTTAGTTGTTACTAATGTTTACATTGTTTACTGTTGATCAAGGTTTTTGTTA